AATTGCCATTGATTGAATCCCCTTGGGAAAGAGGCAAACTAAATTAAATCTTAAATGAAAAATTTAAATTTCAATTTTACCAGTTATCACAACTATCTTTGTATTTTATATCAACCAAAGCCTCAAGCTTACAATTACTGTCGATCTGAAGGGACTAGAGGAAATCACTGTTATTTATTTATTTATTTATTTATTTATTTATTTATTTAAAAGAGCTAGACAATGAGATGGAAAGATGCAGAGAAAGGTCTTCCTTCCGCTGGTTCACTCCCCAAATGGCCGCAAGGGCTGGAGCTGCGCCTATGCAAAGCTAGGAGCCAGGAGCCTCCTCCAGGTCCCCCATGCAGGTGCAGGGGCCCAGGGACATGGGCCATGCTCCACTGCTTTCCCAGGCCGTAGCAGAGAGCTGGATGGGGAGAGGAGCAGCTGGCACTAGAGCCGGTGCCAACATGGGATGCTGGCGCCGTAGGCAAAGGATTAACCCACTGTGCCACAGCACCGGCCCCACGGCAATCACTTTTTTTTTTTTTTTAGAAATGAAATGCTCACCTTCTTTTTTATTTTTTTATTTTTATTTTAGTTTATTTTTTTATTTTTGACAGGCAGAGTGGACAGTGAGAGAGAGAGACAGAGAGAAAGGTCTTCCTTTTGCCATTGGTTCACCCTCCAAGGGCCGCCGCGGCCAGCACACTGCGACCAACGCACCGCACTGATCCAATGGCAGGAGCCAGGTACTTATCCTGGTCTCCCATGGGGTGCAGGCCCGACTTGGGCCATCCTCCACTGCACTCCCGGGCCACAGCAGAGAGCTGGCCTGGAAGAGGGGCGACCGGGACAGAATCCAGAGCCCCAACCGGGACTAGAACCCGGTGTGCCGGCGCTGCTAGGCGGAGGATTAGCCTAGTGAGCCGTGGCGCCAGCCGGCAATCACTTTTTAAAATAACTTCTGGGGCCAGTGCTGTGGCGCAGAAGGTTAATAGAGCCCTGGCATCCCATACAAGCGCTTGTTCAAGTCCAAGCCACTCCACTTCCAATCCAGCTCTCTGCTATGGCCTGGGAAAGCAGTGGAAGAGGGTCTAAGTCCAACCCACACCGGAAGGGATGTGCGAACCTGGCAACCACACCACAAGGATGCCCCCAAATTGCCAGCCACACATACAGCGAGGCCCCAGACCTGACGGCCATACCGACAGAGATTACCTGAACCAACCAGCCAAGCCAACAGCGATGCCCCAAACTGGCCAGCCACACCAACAAGAACGCCAGGAACCCAGTTGTCACACCAATAGGGATGCCTGGACCCCCCCAGCCACACCAACAGGCTGCCGCGAACCTGGCTGTCACACCAACAGGGGAGCCCCCAACATGCAGCCACAACAGCGATGCCTCAAACCTGCCTGCCACACCAACCGCGATGACCAAACCTGCTAGCCACACCAACAGCTATACCCGGAACCCACCAGCCACATCAACACAGACATGCTGAGCCCATTGGACTTACCAACAGTGATGCCCTGAGCCTGCCATCCACCCAAACTGGGGTGCCCTGAACTCGTCTGTCACACAAACAGGGATGCCCCCAACCTGGCTGTCACACCAACAAGGAGGTCCTGAACCTGCCTGTCACACTGACAGTGGCACCCCGAGCCTGCCTGTAACCCCAAAAGGGGCACTCTGAACCTGCCAACCACACTTACTGGGGCACCCCAAACCCACAAGACACACCAACAGGGTTGTCCTGAACCTGCCTGCCAAGAACAGGGATTACCTGAACCCACCAGCTGCACCAACAGCAGTGCCCTGAACCCACCTGTCTCACCCACAGCGATGTCCCGAGCCTGCCAGCCACACCAACAGGAATGCCCAGAACCTGGCTGTCACACAAACAGAGACACCCCGAACCTAGCTGTCACACCAAGAGGGATGCCCCAAACCTGTCAGCCACACCAACAGGGACACTCCAAACCCACCAGCCACAACAACAGGGATGCACGGAACATGCCAGACACACAAACAGTGAAGCCCCAAACCTGCCAGCCAGCCACACCAACAGTGATGTCCTGAACCTGCCAGGCACACCAACAGTGATGGCTGAACCCGCCAGACATACCAACAGCGATGACTGAACCTGCTAGCCACACCAACAGCTATACCCTGAACCTACCAGCCCCAAACCTGGCATTCACACCAACAGCTAGCTATACCCTCAACCCACCAGCCACACCAACAGGGAAGCCCTGAACTTGCTAGCCACACCAACAAGGAATGCCCTGAACCAGCCACTCCAACAGGGATGTCCCGAACCTGGCTGTCACTCCAAGAAGGATGCCCCAAACCTGCCAGCCACACCAGCAGGGAATCCCCAAACCTGCAGCCACAACAATAATGATGCTCGGAACCTGCCAGCCACACCAACAGCAAAGCCCTGACCCAGGCAGCCACATCAACTGGGACGCCTGAAACCACCTGCCACACACACAGGGGCGCCTTGATCCTGTGTGCCACAACAGGGCCTCCACAACCTGCCCACCTCATGACAAGGACGCCCCTAACCTGGCTGTAACACCACAGGGATGCCACAACCCACCAGCCACTCCAACAGGGATGCGCCAAGCCTGCCAGCAACACCAATGGAGATGCCCTAAACCTGCCAGCCACACCAGCAGGGATGCCCCAATCCTGCCAACCACAACAGGGGTGCCCCAAACCACCAGTGATACCAACAGTGATGCCTCAAACCTGCCAGCCACACCAACAGGGGTGCCCCGAACTTGGCTGTCCCACCAACAGGGACACCTGAAACTGGCTGTCACACCAGCTGAGACGCCCCAAACCTGCCTGCCACGATGACATAGGCTCCCTGACCGCACCTCAATGAAAGGGATGCCCTTGGCCAGTGCCGTGGCTCAATAGGCTAATCCTCCACCTGCGGCGCCAGCACACTGGGTTCTAGTCCTGGTCGGGGCACTGGATTCTGTCCCGGTTGCCCCTCTTCCAGGCCAGCTCTCTGCTATGGCCCAGGAGTGCAGTGGAGGATGACCCAAGTGCTTATCCCTGCACCCCATGGGAGACCAGGAGAAGCACCTGGCTCCTGCCTTTGGATCAGTGCGATGTACTGGCTGCAGCACGCTGACTGCAGTGGCCATTGGAGGGTGAACCAACGGCAAAGAAAAACCTTTCTCTCTGTCTCTCTCTCTCACTGTCCACGCTGCCTGTCAAAAAATAAAAATAATTAAAAATAAATTAAAAAAAAGGGATGCCCTTAATGTGTCTGCCACACAGAGAGGGGTGCTCCAAACCCGTCTGTCGCACCCACAGGGGCTCCCCGACCCACCTGTCTCAATGACAGGGATGCCAAAACGAGCCTGTTACATCGAAAGGAACACCCAAACCTGCCTGTCCCGACAGAGGCTTCCCCAACAACCCTCCTCAGTGGCAAGGATGCCCACAACCCTCCTGCCACACAGACAGGGGGCACCCCAAACTGGCCTGCCTCACCGACAGTGCACCCCAAACCAGCCTGCCACACCCCTAGGGACACCAAAAATCTACATGTTATACTGACAGGGACGTCCAGAACACACCAATGACACTGCCAGGGCACCATGAACACACCTGCCACACTGACAGGGAGGCCTGAACCCGCCTGCAACACCAACAAGGCCGCACTACCTGGCCCGGCCCACCTACAGGTTTGCCCTGATCTTGGTTGACCCAACCACAGCGACACCCTGCCCCTGCCTGGCTCACCATCAGAGGTGTCCTGTCCTCGGCTAAATCTCACAGGGGCAACCTGACCCCAGCTGCTTCTTAGAAAGGGCGCCCCACTAGGCCTGCTGAACCAAAAAGGGTACTGTGACCTTGCCTGAATCTCACAGGTGCACACTGGCACCTCATCTTTCACATGTGGAGTGCTCCAAGCCCAGCTGACTAAACGACAGGGGTGCCGCACCCCACCTGTCACAAAGCAGGGCACCACAACCCTGCATTGTCAGTGACAGGGGACCATGACCTCTCCTGAACCTGATAGTGGTGCCCAACCCAGACTGCTTCAAGGACAGGGGTGTCCCAACCTTCCCTGACTCTGACAGGAAACCCCCAGCTCTCTTGAATTAGACTGGGGTGCCCTAACCCCAACACAATCTGACTGGGGTGCCCCAGCCTCTCCTGACTCTGACATGGGTGCCCCAAACTCTCCTGAATCTGACTGGGGTGCCCAAACCTCTCCTGAATCTGACTGGGGTGCCCCAACTTCTCCAGAATCTGAATGGGCACCCTACCCCTCCTGAATCTGACTGCGGTGCCCCAACCTCTCCTGAATCTATATGGGGTACTCCCACCTCTCCTTAATCTGACAGGGGTGCCCCCACACTTTCTACACTGCCCCAAGCTGAGTGGGACCAGGAGAGAGAGAGAAGCAGCCCCTCCCATCTCCACCCAGTCTGGGGCCCGGGGCAGTCCCTCTACTGCCTCGCTGTACCCCATTTGGCACAAAGAGGAGCACGCATCTTTATTTATGGACTAAAAGAGCAAGCCAATGGACCCAGCAGACAGGGGCTCTCAGCAAGCAACAGGAGTGTGGGCTCCTTCTCCTCAGCCAACCACACGACAGCTCACACACGGGGCACCCTGGCTCTGCTTACCTCACAGAAGGGAACCTGTGACATCACCTGCCTCACTAGGGGCACCCTGACTCTGCCAGTCTCACAGCAGGCACACCACCACAACGGCTGCCTCACAAAGGGGCACTATGGCCCTGCCAGTCTCCCTGGGAGGACAACCCACCAGACCTGTCAGACATCTGCGGCGTCTGGATGCAGGCTTCTGCACACAGAGAAGAGCCCAAGCCCACCTGAAGCACTGACGGGGGCACAGGACCCAACCCGAAGACCCAGAGCTGTGCCTGACCCGACTGCATCACGAGCAGGAGCGCCTCAAGAGGACTGTCCCACCGCACGGGAATCAGCCTACCACTCCTCTACCTGAGGGGGTGCCCCGACCTCTCCTCTACCTGATGGGGTGCCCCTACCTCTCCTATACATGATGGGGTGCCCCTACCTCTCCTCTACCTGATGGGGTGCCCCTACCTCTCCTATGACTGATGGGGTGCCCCGACCTCTCCTATAACTGCTGGGGTGCCCCTACCTCTCCTATACATGATGGGGTGCCCCTACCTCTCCTATACAGTGGGGTGCCCCTACCTCTCCAATAGCTGATGGGGTACCCCTACCTCTCCTATACAGTGGGGTGCCCCTACCTCTCCTATGACTGATGGGGTGCCCCTACCTCTCCTATACATGATGGGGTACCCCTACCTCTCCTATGACTGATGGGGTGCCCCTACCTCTCCTATGACTGATGGGGTGCCCCGACCTCTGCTATACATGATGGGGTACCCCTATCTCTCCTATAACTGCTGGGATGCCCCTATCTCTCCTATACACAATGGGGTGCCCCTACCACTCCTCTACCTGATGGGGTGCCCCTACCTCTCCTATACATGATGGGGTACCCCTATCTCTCCTATGACTGATGGGGTGCCCCACCTTTCCTATAACTAATGGGGTGCCCCTACCCCTCCTATAGCTGACAGGGTGCCCTACCCCTCCTATAGCTGATGGGGTGCCCCTACCTATCCACTACATGATGGGGTGCCCCTACCCCTCCTATATATAATGGGGTGCCCCTACCTCTCCAATAGCTGATGGGGTGCCCCTACCACTCCACTATATGATAGGGTGCCCCTACCTCTCCTATAGCTTTTGGGGTGCCCCTACCTCTCCTACACATGATGGGGCACCCCAATCTCTCCTCAATATTACTGGGGCACCCCAACCTCTTTGCAACCTGACTGGGGTGCCCCAACCTCTCCATCTGAGTGGGGCACCCCAACCTTTCCTGACTAACTGGGGTGCCCCAACGTGGACTAACTCGAAGAAAGGCATGCTCTAGCCTCTACTGACTCCGTGACAGGGGCACCCTAACCTCCAATGATTCTGCCGGGCGCCCTATCCTGGAGTTCTATTAGGGTGCTGCAACCTGGACTGACTCAAGAACGGGGAAGCCTGAGCCCAGCTGCCGCCATGACAGAGGCTCCCCAGCCTGCCTACGATGACAGCGGCACCCCCAACACGCCGGCCTCTTCAACAGAGCACCTGCCCCAGCCCGAATGATGGACAGGAGCTCCCACCCTGCCTGCCTCAGCCAAAGGGCTCCTCCACCCAGCCTGGCGTCCTGACCACACCTGGTGACAGGGGCGCCCCAGCTCCACCTGCCCGCCCGCCTGCTTCTCTGCCCACGCGCCCCCAGTTCCAGCCTCACAAAGGGCCCGACTCCACCTCACCTGCCTCCAAGCCTCGGGTCATGGACAATGCCTGCCTGCCTTCAAGACAGGGCGCCCTCCAGAGAAACCAAGCCCGGCGCCAACCCACCTTTGACCTCTGTCCAGACAGACTGAACCCCCATCCTCTGTACCCATCCATTCTCTCCCCCTAAAATAAAGCCTTCTCTTCTGTGACTGGCTGCCTCCTTGCCCTCTTAGAATGGAAAATTCCTAAACCTTGGCAGCCCTGGCAGTTGGCGATGTCCCAAGTGGGGGCTCTGCTGGGCAGGCAACATGCCACTGGGCTGTGCATCCTCTGTGCCCAGCCTTGACAGGCTCAGGTCCTAACTCTTCATGCCTCCCTGGCCCCACGGGGGCTAACGTCTACTCCCAGCATCCCACAGACAATGAAAACCCAAGTAGAAGTGCTCCACTTATCGAGGAGGCAAAGTCCTCCCATTCACACAGTTAACATGTAAAACAGCCAAACCAGAGCCATCAATCCCATCGTTCATTTTTTCTAAATAATATCTACTCTTAAGGGAGAATGGCAGAAGTATGTTTAATTTCATAACTTTGTCAAGAAAAACAAATGGTGCTGACGTTATGGCGTAGCAGGCCGAGTCTCTGCCTGGGATGCTGGCATCCCCTGTGGCCACCAGTTCAACTCCTGGCTGCCCCACTTCTCATCCAGCTCCCTGCTAATGGCCTGGGAAAAGCAGTAGGGCATGGCCCAAGTGCTTGGTCCCTTGTACCCTCATAGGAGACTCCGGTGATGTTCCTGGTTTTTGGCTTGGTCCTGGGCCAGCCACTGCCACTGCAGCCATCTGGGGGAGTGAGCCAGCAGGTGGAAGATCTCTCTCTCTCTCTCTCTCTCTCTCTCTGTAACTCTGACATTCAAATAAACAAATATTTTTTCAAAAAAGATATAGACGGACAGAGAGATTCAAGATGGCAGAATAGGGAGGGAGCTTACTGCTCTAGTCAAGGAGAAGAGAGTGTAACAAAAAGTGGAGAGAGTGCAGTCTCAGGGAAGAGTTCAGGAGAAAATGGCAGAGCAAACTTCGTGCTATTTGAAGGGACACTGTGCACCTGTGTGGAGGGTGTGGACATGCACAACTCAGGACCCCAGCAGCTGAGAAGCTCAGACCAGCTCTGGAGTGAGGGGAGACCAGTCTGTAGCAGCCCAAGCCACTGGAGTTACAGCTGTGGGAAGTCTGGTGGGAATGCCAAAGTAGAGGGTAAAAATGGGGGCACGTTGCTCTCTCCCGATCACCCTGCATCAGCATCCTTTAACAAGCTGAGAGAGGGTGGGTGCCATTCTGGACATAAGGGAGAGCTGAACCAGCTCATTCCCATGTGCCCAGCAACCAGCTGAGCGGAGATGCCTGAGTCTTCCTGGGAGAACTGACAGGGGCTGGGTGATCCTGACTCTGGGAGGCTGGTGCATCAAAACTGTGAAAACACTGTGGCTGCTTGCGCGGGCTCAGGGTGTGTATGGGACGTTGGGTAGTCAATGTGGGAGGCTCCACACGGGATTCCCTGGTGGGGGTCATTGCTGTGGAGTCACACTGAGGACTGCACGGATCCTTTGTGTGGTTCTTGTGGCAGCACAATTACACCCACTGGGGCTAGCACCTGTGGCTGCCAGTGGAGCTTCCCTTGGTCTCCCTTCCGCTGCTGCTCTGTGGTCAGCAGTCAGCCTGGGTTTGCACTGTGGGCTGTGCTTGTAGCAGGAGCCAAGAGCCCAGCTGGACTCCAGCCAGGACTGAGAAAGCAGGTGCCTGCCCTGGGGTGGCCTCTGACCTGGCACTCCCCCCACACACCCCTTCCTCATGAGGGCTCAGCACAGGGCTGGGCTGGAACTCCAGGCCTCCTGACAGAGCTCCTTAATGCAAAACACAGTGCTTTCAGGTGCTGATGGCATGTGTGTGCCCTCTGGAATGCAACCCCCATGTTTTCCCAGAAGTTGTCTTCCTGGAAGTTAGGATTCTGGGGGCAATTTTGTAAAATGGCCCAGAGTGGACAGCGGAGGTCCCACTGCCTGTGAGGGACAGAGACAAGGGGTGGAAAGCACCCCTGCCCCAAACTGCCCTTAGACATGGTCTTTGCTTCTCTCCTGCATTTCCCAGATCCAGGCCACGCTGCCCTGGCTGGGCACCTGACATCCCAGGTGGCAGCCCTCAGAGGCAGGGGCAGAGCCTGCAGGTCCGCAGCCTGCAGAAGGAACAGGCACTCGGCCCCCACCCACACTGTCTCTATGTGGGCCTACTTGTTTTTAAAAATGACTGACTCCGAAGAAGGTAACTCTCAATCTGATGCAACCAATGTTTTAGGAAACGTGTCCTGTTCTTCAGGAGCAAGCTGTTTTGCATAGGATCCCATGGCTATCCTGGAATTGGGTGGAAGGAAATGGCCCAAAAATCCCCTTCCCTACTTCCTTGGTCCAAACCTTTAGGCCTCCCTGTCCTTGTTGAGGGGTATCTGAACACTTCTCTGCTTAAAAAAAAATCCAAAAAGCCCTGTGCACATTTGCTTTTTGGCAGTATATGGAAAATGCTGAGAAGTACACTCTAAGAACCACCCTTAATCCAGGGTGGGCATTTGGCACAGTGGTTAAGACCCCACCCAGGATGCCTGCACTTTAAGTGGGACTGCCTCCTGCTCATGCAGTCCCTGGGAGGCAGCAGGGACGGCTCAGGTCCTCGGGTCCCCTGTCACCCACAGGGGAGGCCTGGCTTGAGTTCCCAGCTCCTGGCTCCAGCTTGGCCCAGATGTGGCTCTTGTGGGTATCTGAGCACAGAACGAGTGGGTGGGAAAATTGTTGCTTTTTCAAACAAAGTCACCCTAAATCCCAAAATACACTTTTTGGGTGTAGATCCTTGCAGACTTTAGAAGCGTGCCCCTACCTGCACATCATGACAGAAATGGACTGCCCTGTTTTACAAGCTGTGCTTCACCTGCACTCTGCTTAACAGTGCAATGAGCACCCGGATCCATCAGCACCACTTTCCCCAACGTGGTTTCTCACCGTCGGTCACCTAGGATGCCCTTCATGTAACCTACAGGTGGTGAGGCTGTTCCCAGGTTGAAATCCTGGACTCCCCTTGCGGCCAGAGCATGGGCCCCCGGTGGAGGAGCCCGCAGAGCTCAGGGCTGTGTGAGGGGTCCCAGACTCCCCTTGTGTGCAGTGGACACTTCAGGGCCGGCCTGCAGCCTTGGTTCCCAATCTGCAGCACAGGGAGAGGACCCTTGGGTGTGGGTGTCCAGCCCCCCTGAGTCGCAAAGCTGGGCTTCACTCATCCTGTCAGGTCAGCTGCAATGCTCTCGGAAGGTTTAAGGGACTGGTCCCTATGTTCCAGCTTCTCATGCCACCATCAAGATGCTAATGCAATTCTGGGTCCTGACAATGTCTGTGAAAACTTTCTCCTCCTTTCTGGAAACATCGCCGCCCTCAGGTTCTGAGCAGTCATTCTGTCTTGTCTGAACGCTCAAGGCTTTCACTGTGCAAACACGCATCCTCCACTCTGGCTTCTTCTTGAAATATTTCTGTAGGGATTTCTTCCTCTAGGTTTTCCTTCAGTTCTGTTGGTGGAACTCCTGTAATTCACAACCAGTACCTAAATTCAGCTTTAATTTCCTTTTCCACTGACCATCTATTCAGGTTTTTTTTTCTCTTCCTAATTTCTGCAAGGTTTTTCTCATCGTAATCTTCAGTTTTTAAAACATTTGCAGGGGCCTGGCATTGTGGCACAGCAGGGTAAGCTGCAGCCTGCTGCAGAGGTTGGAGTCCTGGCTGCTCCACTCTGATCCAGCTCCCTGTTAATGCACCTGGGAAAGTAGCTGAAGACAGCCCAAGTGCTTGGGCCCCTGTACCCATGTGGGAGACCTGAAAGAAACTCCTGGCTCCTGGCTTCAGCCTGGTCCAGTTCTGGCCAGTGCAGCCATTTGGGGAGTGAAACAGAAGCTGAAGATCCCTCTCTATGTAGCTCTACCTTTTCAAATAAATATTCTTTTTTTTTTTAAAGGCTCAAGGTTTTAACTCCCACACCCACATGGGAAACCTGGTGGGAGTTTCAGGCTCCTGGCTTCAGCCTGGCCAAGTCTGACCACCGCAGATACTTGGGGACAAACCATTGTATAAAAGATTCTCTTTCTGTCTCTCATTCTCTCTCTGCAGCTCTGTTCTTCAAATAAATAAATAAATCTTACAAAATAAAACTACTGAAAACAACTTTGGCAGTTGTGTTTTTAATTTAGAGCTCTTTTGAGGCCACATACCTTTTTTAAACTATTGTAAGCCTTCTTATTTTGTAAATACAGAATTTTTGAAGAAATCTCTCTGAGGATATTAGCAGTGGGTATTCACTTTAAAGAACTTCTTTTGGGCCTGGCACTCTGGCACAGTAGGTTATGCCTCCGCCTGAGATGCCGGCATCCCCAGTGGGCACTGGTTTGTGTCCCGGCGGCTCCTTCCCGTTCCGGGTCTCTGTAATGGCTGGGAAGGCAATGGAAATGGCCCAAGTGCTTGGGCCCCTAAACCCACATGGGAGACCCCAAAAGAAGCTCCTAGCTCCTGGCTTTGGATCAGCTCAGCTCCAGCTGTTACGGCCGTTTTGGGAATGACCAGTGGATAGAAGGCCTCTCTCTCTCTGTCTCTACCTCTCTCTGTCTATAACTCTGCCTCTCAAATAAATAATTAAAAAAAATTTCTAGGCCAGCGCCGCGGCTCACTAGGCTAATCCTCCGCCTTGCAGCACCAGCACACCGGATTCTAGTCCCGGTCGGGGCGCCGGATTCTGTCCCGCTTGCCCCTCTTCCAGGCCAGCCCTCTGCTGTGGCCTGGGAGTGCAGTGGAGGATGGCCCAAGTCCCATGGGAGATCAGGATAAGTACCTGGCTCCTGGCTTCAGATCAGCGTGGTGCGCCAGCCAGTGGAGGGTGAACCAACGGCAAAGGAAGACCTTTCTCTCTGTCTCTCTCTCTCACTGTCCACTCTGCCTGTCCAAAAAAAATTTTTCATTTTATTTGAAGTGCAGAGAGAAACCTAAGAAAGAGAGAGAGTTCCCATATACTGGTTCCCTCCCCAAATGCCTGCAACAGCTCCATCTGGGCCACACCAAAACCAGGAGCCAGGAACTTACCTGGCCTCCCACATGTGTGGCAGAGACAAGCAGCTGAGCATCACTGCTGCCTCCCAGAGTGTGCATTAGGCAGAAGCTGGATTGGAAGCAGGGCCAGGACTTGAACCAGACACTGACAGGAGCAGGCATCCCAAGTAGCACCTTCGCTGCTCTGCTAATGCCTGCCCAGCTTTATTTGGAAGGCAGCATTACAGACAGAGAACGAGAGTGAGAGAGAGAGAAATGGATTCCATCCTCTGATTCACTCCACTAATGGCCACAATGGCTGGAGCTGGGCCAATCCAAAGCCAGGAACCAGGAGCTTTTTCCCAGTCTCCCACGTGGGTGGAGGGGCAGCACTTCTGCTGCTTTGCCAGGCACAGCAGCAGGGAGCTGGATCAGAAGTGGAACAGCCAGGATTCCAATCCGTGCCCAAAGGGGGTGCTGGCACTGCAGGCAGCAGCTTAAACTACTATACCACAGTGTGGGATTGATTTCATATTTATACTATTCCAGTGATATAATTTACATATAATAAATGTACCCATTTTATTGGAAATTCAAAGTATTTTGACATGCACTGGCAGGTATATCACATGCACTGGCAAAGAAATGAAAAGTCCTGTAAGTACCACAAAAATCCCCTAACAGTCGTTCTCCCCTCCTCACTGCCCCACTGCAGCCCAGGCATCACTCATGTGCTTCACGCCCCTGCAGATGCATTTTCCTTACTCTAGAAGCTCACCTAAAGGTAGCGTGCAGAACGTGTTTGAAGTCACCAGTTACGTGTGCATCTGGAGCTCAGTGTCCTGCGATGGCTGAGCAGGATCCCATCCTACTCACACGCCACGGTTTGTTCATTCATTTAATGATGGCACTTGGCTGGGTTCCAGCATGAAGCCAAGGCACACTCAGTCCTGAACATTCGTGTACAACTGTTGATATGGACAAATGTTCTCATTTCTCTCAAGTAAATACCAAGTTGTAGAATTGCTCTGTTTTGATAGGAAGGATATTCTTTTTAAGATTTATTACTTATTTGAAAGGCAGAGTGACAAGAAAGAAGCAGAGACACACAGAAGGAGGCAGACATGCTCTACTCTGGCTCACTCCTCAAAAGCCTGCAAGAGCTAGGGATAGGCCAGACCAAAGGCAGGAGCCAGGAGCTCCACCTGGTCTACCTTGTGGGTGTCAGGAACCCAAGCAGTTGGGCCATCATCTGCTGCCTCCCAGGTATATCAGCAAAAACCTCTACCAGAAGCACAGAGCAGCTGGGACTCAAACCAGGCACCCCAGTCTGGTGTAGGGTGTGGATGTCCCAAGAGCAGCCCCATGATCTACACACCTCTCCCCAGACCCAGATAATTTTTACTTATTTTTATTTCTTTGAAAAGCAGAGAGATAGTCAAAAAGATACAGGGGCTCCCATTTGCTGGTTCAATCCCCAAATGCCCACAACAACAAGGGCTGGGCCAGGCTGAAGCCAGGAGCACACAGCTTCTTCCCAGAATGCAATGGGATAGCTTGTGGACTGAAGGAGCTCTGGGCGGGGGGGTGTCACAGGCCAGGCCACCCCATCAGCATTCAGCCAGCTCCCATTTCTCTGCCATGTGATGCAACCTGGGGCTCCTGGCAGGCTGCCAGCACCGAGTCCTTAGACCCTCCCACCATCACAATCAGGAGCAAACAGACCCCTGGTGTTTAGTTACACAACACAAATGGACAGAGACACCAGGCCTGGGGCAAGGCTCGCCCAGTGGGGCCCTCACTGGAGAGCCACCCTCCCAGGCCACTGTGTGGATTCCCTGCTCTCAGTTTCTTACAGATTTTCCCCTTAGCTTAGACTCCCCTACAACTTTCTGCCAGTCTCCCACCAGAAGCCTCATGGTTTCCAGGATCCTGAAACCCACGTGTGAGGGGAAAGGGGGACGTGCCAGCTCCAAGGGAGGACTCCTTGCCCAGCTGTGTCAGGGGCTCCCAGGCCCAGGGACCCAGAATACAGATTTCTGCAGAGAGGGGAGGGGCTGCTGCTTCGCTGAGCTGGGTGGGGGAGGCACGCGGGGTCCGAATGCTGCTTGGACAGACTTTGTGGCTGTCCGTCACGCAGAGCACCTCACCTCTATTCCAGAGCTGTCTGGTGCTGCCTCCCGTCCACCTCCTGGGCGTCCTGTGGAGCACACGCATTCGCTCCCCACCCTCGGGGTCCTTCACTGTGGAAATGGCTGCCAGGCCACTGCACGCAGCTCCCCTGGTGAACAGGGACGGGGAAACGTGCTCAGTGGCTCTCCCAGCACCAGGGACCAGGAACAGTGAACTAGTGGGGACCAGCGGGACTGCGTTTGTTCCAGAGCCATCACACGGGGACAGAGAAGGTGCAAACACTCAGCATGGCCGAAGCCTGAAGAAGAAGAATGGGAAAGCCCTGGGGCAGCACTCAGGGGTGTAGCTTGGCCCCAGGCTGCAGAAAACTGGGATTCAAATGGATTTGGGATCCAAACTCAGTCAAGGCCTCAAAATCATTATTTCTTTCTTATACTTCATTTTCTATCTGACAGGCAGAGTTAGACAGTGAGAGAGACAGAAAAGTCTTCCTTCCGTTAGTTCACCCATCAAATGGCCACCATGGCCGGCGTGCTGCACCAATCCGAAGCCAGGAGCCAGGTGCTTCCTCCTGGTTGTGGGGAGCAACTCGGACTAGACTAAGTTACTGGAATTAAGACTTATTCTATGCATCTGCTCTCCCACAATATGGCGCTGGGAGAGGAGGAAACAGCTTCTACACAGCTGCCTCCAGTTCAACCAATAAACTGTAGGACCTGCTCCTGATTGGAGGAGAGCAGCGTGCTCGGTGTGTGGGTAGCAGAGTTGGGATTGGTGGAAGAGGACTATAAAGGAGGAGAGAGACAACATGCACCAGGAACATCTATCTGAAGGAACACCTGTGCAATTCACAATAGCCAAGACCTGGAACCAACCTAAATGCCCATCAACGGTAGACTGGATAAAGAAATTATGGGATATGTATTCTTTAGAGTACTATACCGCAGTAAGAAACAACGAAATCCAGTCATTTGCAACAAAATGGAGGAATCTGGAACACATCATGCTGAGTGAAGTAAGCCAGTCCCAAAGGGACAAATACCATATGTTCTCCCTGATCGGTGACAACTGACTGAACACCAAAAAGGAAACCTCCTGAAGTGAAATGGACACTATGAGAAATGGTGACTTGATCAGCATAGCCCTGACTGCTAATGGACAACTTAATACATTATCCCTCTTAGTATTTTTTTTTTGTCTGTTCTACTTAATATGACTGGTTTAATTCTGTAATTATCACACAGTTATTCTTAAGTGTTGAAAATTAACTGAAATGTGATCCCTGTTAAACATAAGAGTGGGAATAAGAGAGGGAAGAGATGTATAATTTGGGGCATGCTCAGGCTGACTTGCCCCAATTGGTAGAGTTGGAAACATA